AACCTGAACGACTCGAAACATGTTTCTTATAGGTTTTCGACAATGCTCTTTCCAGTGGCATCGTTTTTAAATATTGAGAAAGTTTTCTGAAGGGTTTTCCAGACGCCGGATCTCTGGAAAACTCTTTAGAAAACTTTTTCAAAATCCAACTCTCATGCCATTAGAAAGGGGATCATGAAAAACTTATAAAAAAATGGTTCATGAAATTTTAGCGCACTCATAAAGCTAAAGTCCGCCTGCTGTGACAAAAAATGCCCACAGTGTATAAGTGAAGCGAGGATGTTCAAGGGGAAACATTGCTCGGTTATTTCCAATGTTTCAAGGGCATAATTTAAAGCATAATCATACCGTTCGTGAAAATTATAGAATGCAGCTAATTCTCAGGTAATCTATTAGGAAGGTTTTTGGAAAACGATCTTGCCAGTCCGAAAGTTTTGATAGTTTTTGGTCAACCGATGGCCAGAGCTGCACATTTTTCCGTTCTTTCATTCGGAACCTAGAAGCTATCTAGTCTCAAACTCCATTGACATAAGCGACGGTCAACATCTTCAATTGATTATTTACATTTTTTACGAATAAAAATCACATTACTTGATTTACATTGAAAATTTTCAGATGAAGTATTTGCTGATGGATCTAAAAACTGTTTTTTTTCATTATAGATTTTGTCGAAATTTTTTTTATCATGGTAGTTGTAACTGTGGAACAGAGAGCTCGATCAAATAAGAAACATTTTCACCTTATCCTTCTTAATGATGTTAAAAATTGAGAGAATAATTGATATTGGAATTGCTTGAACGACGATGATGTCTCAACATAAAATTTTTGTTCTTTAATTCAGCTGATGACAGAATTTTGAGTTAGTTTAAATGAGTTTAACATCACAATAGGTACGAATAAATTTATTTTTATTGTGTTTTTTTTTTGGTTTTATTCACAATATACAGAAAAATTATAAAAATGAGTCATCAATATAGTTACATTAATAACGAACGTATTAATTACAATAAAGCGTGTGGATTTATGCATGAATAACCCAGATTTTAATGCTGCCACAATAAGTAATAAAATCACGGACCATGATGTATTTAAAACGAAAGATAACATTGCAACTAATATACTGATGTTGGAGCTTTGCTCTGATAAAACCTCTAACTTATCAAACTTGATTGAAAGATTTTCAATATTATTTATGAAATTCTTGTTCAATTATAGTTAATAGGAAGGAATTGATATAAATATAGGTAAACACAGCCATTGTAACGAATACACCGAGTGTACAAAAAAAGGTCTACTTTTCGCAAAAAACGACCTTTTTAAACATTTTCCTGAGAACCTGATTAACATTTTGGAACTGTCTATCCGCTAATGACTTCTGCTGGTAAATGGGATTTTCGCAGGTCTAGAAGGCCACTATACCGTTGTTTTTGAAATTTTTAAAAGTGATACTCGTCAACAGGAGCCCGAGCTTTACTAGTCCTGTTACTCTCAAACAATTCGAATAAAGTAGATGTAAACTCTGGTACACTTTCAAAAGAATCACCCATGTGGCGTTTCTATAAAAGAAACTACATTTTGAATAAACTTTGTTTTACCTGTTATCCGATCGTATTGCTTAGATACAAGAGAAAAACAAGACAAAATGTGCGCGTGGAAAGGAGAAAAAAAGTAACAGAACAGATCCGATGACTAATCCAAGTCAAATGATCGGAAAATACTAAGCCAAAATACTTTACATAATCTTTTTCTAAGACAGTTGAAGTATTTAAAATAACTGCTGATAAGAATTACGGTGAGAATGAGAATTGAAATTTATAGCTTCACAAATATTAAAATTTAAGCAAATAAACTATCTATCAGATCATTCTTCTGCTCTTGCTAAATGCTTACTTACGGTGTTGGCACATACTATAGGATCAGGATGATGATTTATAAGAATTACATCGTCAGCAAAAAGCTTTATGACACTTTCGATACCATTCGGTCGATCATGAATGTAAATAAGAAATAATAAATGACCTAATACAGAACCTTGAGGTACACTGTTACTAACTGGACATTCGTCCAATATAGCCTGAACAGTTCGATCTTGTAAATAGTTTTAATCAATTTCAAAGTAAGATCTCGAACACCTTTCTTATATAATTTTATTAATAAACATTCATGACTGATATTATCAGATGGTTTTTTGAAATCTAGTAAACCAGTACGAACAACCTTAGCCTTTACCATTGCTGAATTGATTCCATTAACTACATCAACAAGAAATAAGTTATACTGTCTTTAGTAATAAAACTTGATTGAAAAGCTGACAGAAGTCTATAAACAAACAATAAAATCGCAAAAATATATAGGAAAGGAGTCGTATGGCTCACACATAAGTCCAAGATGAGAAATTAACTGCTGCGAGGAAAGAAAACATGTAAACGTACACGTACGAGTCAAAAATCGTTAGATTTTGAAAATGGAAGCTCAGTTTCGTCCTATTCGAAAATCATTCTTTTTCTTTTTTCTGTCATACAAGCTCAATAACAAACTATTTTGAGTTGACATTTTACATACGTAAACAAGAGATGATACTCTGCACACTGCTGGAACCGTAAACCACTGGCCTTTTTTGTTTTGAAATGACAACAAAATCAATGTAATCATGTAAGGATGGACGCTCAGTTTTGACCGCTACTGTATGTCTCATTTCTATATTTCAAAATCAAATTAAAAATGAAGTAGAAGCAATCGAAATTATCTTAAGCGTTAATTAGTATTTCTTGACGATTTTCTTTGAACAATATGGCAGAAGCGCTTTTTTGAGTTTGCATTCGTATAAAATCCATAATAATTTTCTGAAGAGTGAGGCAATATTGCTTTGAGCACTCTTATTTATACACATACGGAAATAACGAAATCTGAATTGTACACCAATGAGCCTTTTATCAGACCCTGCTATATTCAAAGTTAAGCCAAGTCGAGTGGCGAAGTTCTTTTGAACCAGTTAAAGTACTAATTACCACCTAAGACATACTCGATTGCTTGTACCTCACATTTAATCTAATGTTTATTTGGAATATAGAAATGAGTTATTCATCAACTGAAGAGAATTCTTGCATTTTCTTATCTCAACATCGAGTTAGAAATCTATCAATATGTGATATACTTTGTACATCGCAGGTTTCGATAAACTACGCAATTAACACGCAAAAACAAGTTCTTATCTTCTGATGAAGTGGAAGCATCATGTTCTCCGGAACAGCTTATTCGTTAGAGTCGAATCCTTTACTCTTACCGTTTCCCTTTGCTGTTCAGTAATTTCACCTAACATTTGATTTATAAACCTTTAACTATGATCCTTTTTAAGAACAAAAGATGAAAAATCAAACCTGCTTAATAAAACATGTGTTTGTTTACATACGTTGATTTACAATAATGTGCTACAGCAAAAGAAGATTTTTTATTAAAAAGTGAACAATAGCCATCGTGACTTTTTTCGTTCTAATGTGCATACGCTTTTACACTCCATGCACTAATTTCTACCGATCTGTATTTATTTACCTGAATAAGTTCCTTTTCTTTTTGTGTGATGCCGTATTCTTGCAGTAAAAGAAAGAATTATTCATTAACATGTTGGCAAGCATAGGTTGTTTATCTCTTGTGCCAGCTATTTCACTTTTGTCTGTTCTGGTCATCATTTTTGTAGTAATTCTAAAACATACTAAATTCTTTACAAATGAACATATGGAACAGGTTGTATCAATGAATAATTATATTGAAATATCGACGGGCAGTCAAGATGAAGGCCAGTGTTATGCAAAACTCTTGTATTCCCGTGATGGTGCATTGGAGAGGGATGTTATGATAGTTGTCGCCAATATTAACAAAAACGAATCATATCTACTCGAGGATATAGAAACCGTTCCCGGATTCCTTAGAATAAAATGGAACACTAAACTAAAATCATCTGGCGTACCAAAGGGGCAACGATACAATCACTTGTATGTTGATGGAATGGGCATTAAAGAGGTCATATATGAAAAAGACCAACAATATTCATTAGATGAAAACTTAGTTAACGTTGGACGTATACTGGTTCCCAAACCATGTTTGGAACAGGCGTCAATACCCATTTGTTTTCTAGATGAGTTTTGTCTAGAATCATTTGAGTCAAATGTGCGGACGATGCAGCTGATTATCGAAACAAACAAAAACAAATTAACCTGCGAAGTTTGTGAAGATCTACTGGCATCAGCTCACCTTTCAAAAACGATGTATTCATCAAATATGGACGAAATGTTTAGTTGTGAGATAGAAAATAAAATCAGTCCTACCATATGTGGTGCTAATCTCTGCAAACCTTTGTATTCGATATGTTTTGCCCCCGCATTCGGTATACCATATTCATTTGAGATGAAGCAGAAGATAAGTTGCATATTAAAATATTACCACTTGTCAAAGTCGATTTTATTTTCGTTAAACACTTACAAACATCTATCTGTCTTAGCCAACGAGCAGCGTCATCCGTTCCAAGAACATGTATTGCGTGATACTGTACCGGCCATCTGTTTGAATTTTTCGTATCCACCTGTACTAGAATGGTTTTTAAGTCGATGCCAGCAACATGTACGTTTGAATAAATTAATCGACGGTAGTAAATGCAGGGTGTACCTTGTGGCAAAGTGGTCACAAAAAACACCTGACACGGATGCTCGATTTGAATTCCGCTACTCATTTTCACTTACTGAAAAATTTTTGACAAAACAACGTCGTCCAAAAGAAAAACTTGTTTGTTCTTTGGCAAGAAAGTTTTATTATAAAATATTACGAGATATTCATAAAACGTCAACAGAGTATTTGAAATCATATATAATCAAGACATCAATATTGTGGCTATGTGAGCTAAATGATCTTGAGGAACAGACAACGATGACGATCACTGAAATGATATCACTATGGATCGAGTACATGGTAAATTGTTTCAAAGATCGATATCTTCCGCATTATTTCATTAATGGTATGAACTTACTACAAGATTATGACGATTCTTTAATTGAAATGATACAGCATGCTCTGCAAACTGCCAACATAGAATACTTAATCAAATCTTTCGATTATAAAACATTCGAGTCGATCGGTTCAGTCAATTATCATCGCCAATTGTTACACGAACTGAAAGAGTTCATCGAATCAAACCCAAAAGTTCGAGATAAAATGAAACAAGTATTTTGTGCATCCATAGCTAAACGATTTTATGATGATGAAGTGAATACTAGACCGGATTTATTAGAGACAATTTTTGAACTATGGACATGTTGACAAGTATTTTGTGCATCCATAGCTAAACGATTTTATGATGATGAAGTGAATACTAGACCGGATTTATTAGAGACAATTTTTGTCTCTATGGACATGTTGACAAAGTTATCTGCCTAGATTCTTAATCAAACGCAGTTTTTATTTTGTTACAAACTTTTGCGCTAGCAATGTTTCTTTTCGTGTATCCATGGCTATGCCAGAATAAACTGAACTGAACTGAACTGAACTGAACAACAAATACCCGACGTTCTTTGTTTACTTGTGGTCATTGAAATCAAATATAAGACCTTTTGGCAACAATGGGCACAGCTTTTTCTGGACTATGACCGAGATGATTACGATCGTGAAAAGTTAAAAGAAGAATCACCTTATGCGCCATCACCAAGTGAACTAGCAATGTGTATGCGTGAAAGTGTGCATAGATATTCTTCAGTTTTGTACAGTGTGTTGAAACGAACGAATTTCACAGAAACATTTAAGAAGTATCATGAAATGATCAATGAAATTAAAGCACAGTACAATCTATAATTCTATTCGTTATAAATCTATTAGCACCCAGTGATATAGATGAAGTTTTTTCCACGATTTTTTATTTGAAAAAAGAACTCAAAGATGATTGTATTGTTGACGAAAATTTTATTAAAGTCATAAAATGATGTCTCAGGCGTACAAAAAATCCAATGAGTCGTCAACGCATTGATTAGTTTTGCCCATAGTGATCCCCGAAAAAGCCGCAAAATGGTTCAGATTTTATTCCTAACCTTACCCTCCATCGGTTTACCTCTGCCAGAACGTTTCCCACGTCTGTAGGGATCGGAGCGACAACTGAACGGGTTAAAGCAGCAGTTTTCTCTTGACCAAATTGATCCTTTTGTTAATTCCATAGGGTCAGGAAATGTCCGTACTGATTTACCTTTTAGAGAGAAAACGTAAAAAATTTCTGATGAACAGAAATTTTTGTATCTGACATTGTTCAAAACATCATTCCAACCACAATTGCTGGATTTTGCAATCAGTTTCAATCAATACAATTTTGAAGGATTTTGCTTAGGTTATAAACAGTTCGGCTTATGTTGTTTGACGAAAATTTTAAGTACATGTAAGCTTCAGTACAAGAGTCTTTGCAGGGAATAGATTACTGTGCAGTCGATACTAGCGACTCGCTAGTGTTGTTCGGTTCTCGGTTCTCGTTAAGAACCGGAACCGCGGTTCTCTTGCTTTCGGTTCTTCATCGGGTACCGAAACCGTGCTACCGGTTCTAAGAATGGAACCGGAACCGCGGTTCTGTAGACGGTTCCTTTTTTTCGGAATCGAGACTTTTTTAACTATAGATACTACAGTTTTATTTCGAGAAAGCTATATTTAGCGTTCAAACTGTTAAGAACCGACGATAGAAAAGTACAGCATTGAAAGAAAAAGAACAACTCTGAACGGACGATCAAATTTGTATTTCTTTATGAAGTACAAAAACGACGGGCGAAACAATAATTCATTCTTTTCTCTTCTGCCTTATCTTTTTGTCTTGCCTTTCTTATAATAAAATGAAAACACACTATTGACAGAGCTGCAAAAAGATATATTTGCCTGCCATCATTTAAAAGAATCCTTTCGTTTACTATAAAATGAATCTTATTTCGTTGAATTGTTAGTGCTTGAAAAATTCTTTTTCGGTTCTAAGCTGAGAACCGA